AGGAGAGGATGGGGAGAGCTTGGGGGAATGGGATGGTTGAGATGGAGGAAGGGTGGATATGGGAGCAGGAAACTATATATCTTAATTAAGGGAGCCATTTTAGGGTTGGCAAGAGACTTGACTCTAGAGGGGTTCCCATGTGTCCATGGAGATGTCCCCAACCAGTTCCCTGGGCAGCTGAGGATAGGGAACCTGAAATGACCCTATCCTATAGCAATACTGATGAATATCTTGCATATCACCATAGAACCTTCATCTGGCGATGGATGGAGATAGAGACAGAGACCCACACTGGGGCACTAGACTGAGCTCCCAAGATCCATATGAGGAACAGAAGGAGGGAGAACATGAGCAAGGAAGTCAGGACCGTGAGAGGTGCACCCACCCACTGAGACAGTGGGGCTGATCTATTGGGAGCTCACCAAGGCCAGCTGGACTGGGGACTGAAAAACTATGGGATCAAACCGGCCTCTCTGAACATGGCGGACAATGAGGACTACTGAGAAGCCAAGGACAATGGCACTGGGTTTTGATCCTACTGTATGTACTGGCTTTGTGGGAGCCTAGCCAGTTTGGATGCTCACCTTCCTAGACCTGGATGGAGGAGGGCAAAAGCAGGTGGATCTCTGTGAGTTCGAGGCCAGCATAGTCTACACAGTAAGTTCCAGGACAGTCAGGGATACACAGAGAAACCCTGTCTCAAAAAAAGGAGGGGGTGCTGTGGGAACTCCTTCAGCCTTTAAGATACTGGCACACCCTGGGTGTGGCCATATGTACTAAATAAAGAACCCTTTACTACACTCCATTCTGAGCTAGTGTGGGACTGCTTTATTGTAATCGCCTATAGGGGGTTAAAAAGTGGTCGATTAAGGCACTAGATGCCAGTCTATGGCATCCATATGCATGCATGCTTGGTCTCTCACGCACACGCGTGCACACGCGTGTCTGCACACACATACACACACAAGACTGCTAGAAGGCTGGTCTCAGATGCAACCAGCTGTGGATGTCAGAGGTTTATCAGAGGTTTGTTTGATCCTGCTGCTTTCTGGGACAGATCATGGTAGACATAAGGGGAGCATAGAATATTTTTTATGTGCTAGGAAGGAAGAAAGTGACAGGGGAAAAAAGATGCAGACATTCGGGCTGGAGAGATGGCTCAGTGTTTAAGAGCATTGCCTGCTCTTCCAGAGGTCCTGAATTCAATTCCCGGCAACCACATGGTGGCTCACAACCATCTGTAATGATGTCTGGTGCCCTCTTCTGGCCTGCAGACATACACACAGACAGAATATCGTATACATAATAAATAAATAAATATTTTAAAAAAACAAGATGGTGTCCTTCTTCAAGGACAGAGGAGGCAAATCATAGCACCAAAGCAAACTTATGAAGCTCAGTACTAAGTTATAAAGCCATGGAAATATAGGAACATATGTCTGTTCTGATTGGCCAGATAAGCAGATAAACGGAGAGAAGGAGGGCTTGCTTTCAGCTTAATGTCAAGGGCTAATAAGTATTCAGTGCGGAATCTCAGAAAAGAGGAACTGTGGGAAATGATCATACGGCAACCATCATAGCCAAGAATAAGCAGGCAGACAAGAACCATTGGCAAATACTAACTCTAGGGGAGATCTTCATAAACAACAGGGCGTTTTCATGATCCTTAACTGTTTCTCCTTGAGCTGTTGGTTAGTTGTGCTGGGGAAAGAATAATATTGGTGTTGCACAAAAGAACACATGAACAAAGCTACCACCTTATTTTCTGAGAGTCTCTCATTGAAGCTGGGCCTCACTGATTAGCTAAACAGCAAGTTCCAGGGATTCTCCTACCTCTGTCTCCTCGGCCCTGGGATTACAGGCACACACAGCATTCAGCTGTGTGAGTGTTAGGGATCAGAACTCAGGTCTTTTTGCTCACCCGACATGCTCTTTACTGACTAAGCCAGCTTCTCAGCACCTAATAATCTTGATAACTTTTTTATTCGAATAAATCAATCAAGGAGTGCAATAAATTATGGTGGCTCTCTGATTTCATCCAATCCCATTTGTCAGCCCCTGAACTTCTTTCCTGTACAACTGGGGTTCTTTTCAGAAAGTGTTTGCCTATGCTTGTATTTTGAACTGTTTTCGCTATATGTTCATTGGGAAGTTCCAGTGTTTAGGGTTTTATACTGGGATCTTTTTTAACATTTTTATGGTTTATTTAACTTTATTTTATGTGCATTGGTGTGAAGGTGTCAGATCCCCTGCAACTGGATCTTAAGACAGTTGTGAGCTGCCATGTGGGTGCTGGGAATTGAACCCGGGTTCTCTGGAAGAGCAGTCAGTGCTCTTAACCACTGAGCCATCTCTCCAGCCCCTATACTGGGAGCTTTTATCCATTTTGAATTCCTCTTTTTGTGCAGAGTAAGAGATATATGTCTTACTTTATTCTTTTATATATGGGCATCCAATTTTCCCATCACTGTTTGGTGAAAAGGAAACATTCATTTCCAATTACTGTTTTTGACAAAAGTTAGGATTATACATGTATGAAATTGCCACACAATAAATAAAAATATTTAAAGCAGTTATAAAGATCAACAAAAAAGTATGCATGAAAATCCCACAGTGAAACTTTTTATGCTAACTCAAAAATAATTTTCTATGAAGATACTATCTGTAATCTTTCCTTTAAAAAGAAAAGAAAGCTGAGCTGAGGAGATGGCTCAGTGGGTAAGAGCACTCGCTGTACGAGGATGGGGACAGGAGTTCAGATTATCCACACCCCCACAAAACGTCAGGTGTGACCCTGTGAACCTGTAACCATAGTGCTGGTGCTTGGGTGGGAGGGAGACAGGAGGCTCTCTGGAGTGTGCTGGCCACCAGCCTAGCCAAAGAACAGTGAGCTCCGAGCTTAGCAAAGGCTTGAGAGAAGAAGGCAGAACACAGCAGAGGAGGGTCCTGGATACCAGGCTTCTGCAGCTAGTGCCTTCACCCACGGAGTCACCTGACTAGAACCTTTGATCTTATTGTTTGATACAGGGCCTCACATACCCAGGATAGTCCAGAACTTGCTACCTAACTGAAGCTGGCCTTGAACTCCTAATCCTCCTGTCTCTGTCTCCTAATTCTAATATTACAGGCTTCTGCTACCATGCTAGTTTTAAAGGTGGGTGGGGGAGAAAGGAAGGAATGAAGGGAGAGATGGAGGAAGGGAGGAAGGGAGAGAAGGAGGAAGGGAGGAAGGGAGAGAGGGAGGAAGGGAGAGAGGGAGGAAGGAAGGTTGTCTTTTCAGCGCTGGGCAGATGTGTCAAATGACTGACTGGTTGCTTTAGTTTCGCTCATCGCATAAATATTTCCGGGTTTCTAATCTGGCCAGCTGCCTAAGCTGTTCCATTATCACTACTGTGGAAGAAAACCCAAGTCTTGTGCCACAGAAGGCTCCTGACTTCACCGCAGCCACCCTTGGTGGTGTTTCAGGATGCAACCACTTCAGGGACCACCCCGCCCCTGTGGCTGTCAGCCAGCTCAAGGTCCGACCGATCTTGGTAATACTTGTGAAATGGGGGGAGCCCACTCTCCTTAGCTAGGTAGGATGGATTGCACTGTCCCCTCTGTACAGCTGTGGATGTGAGACTCGCAATGACTTTATCATAGTTGTACTGACAGCAGGTGAAAGAGCAGAATGTCAAGCCTGAAGTTTCGGATTCCTTCCGAAGCTTTTCAACACCGTCCCTGAGCAAAGATGTCTCAGAGCGTGGAATTGAAGAGCATGTCTCTGTGAGTCACGGGCTCAGTCAGGGCTTTTGAGGCAAGTGATGGTTGAGCTGCACTTCAGCTGAGTCACGTAAGCCTTCAGTGGTTTCGCTCCCCCCCCCCCCAGGAACTCCAGACTTAGGCTGGACAGCACAATGACTGTGGGCTAGGCTGTATGTCATCGTTCTGGGTCACAGTGCTCGCCAAGTCATTGTCCATTCTGGAAGCTCTAACTGTTTGAATTCTACTTGCAAAATTAAAAAATAAAAGGCATGTCCATGGGTTTTTTTGGGGGGGGGGGTGGAGGGACATTAAGGACCACCTCTTTAATTTTAAAACAACAGTAATCAAACAAAATAAGAAATACAGGCTCGCAGTTCAGGCCTACCTTTTGATAAAGCAGAGTTGGCATCAGAAGAAAAATAACTGAAAGGAAATACCCATTTTCCTTTGTGCTGCCATTAAAGAACTCCTACTTCCTCTAACTTATATCCACAACCTCTTTATTTCCAAATTAGAAAACTGTCCTGTTCCTATTGATCAGTGAACTACTTTAAAATTCAGCTTCCAAGTACCTCCACTGACCTACCCAACAATCATGTTCAGTTGCGGAAGCCGGGAACGTTCATTTTAACAAGCTTATGCCAGCCAAGTTTGCAATTAGCTCATGTACAGATAAAGAAGAATCGCATAAGACAGCTTTACAACAAAATGCCTGATCCAGGGAACTTAGGAAGTAAAGAGAGCTCTATTTTGGCTCATGGTTCTGGAGACTCAAACCTAAGATTGGGCAGCTCCAGTGGATGACGGTGACAGGTGACACATGCACATAACCAGAGAAACCGTGGTCACACCATGACCCAGGATGCAAAGGGCCTGGATGAGTTCAGACTCATTATTCCCTTCCAGGAAATACCCTCAGTAACCTAAGGGTCTTCCAGTCGTTTCTACAGGAATGCTTAAAGATTCACCGGAACCGTCCAATAAATAGCACTACGCTGGGGACCCAACTTTTACACATGGACCTTTGAGGAGTACTCATCAAAACCGCAGGGGATTATGTTTTCCTTTGAAAAAATACTGAGGGCCAGCGGAGCCGGCCTGGAAGGGGCGGGCATCTGCGGGCCTTAGAACCGCCCTCCACGCCTCCAGGCCGAGGAGCAGAGAGGGAGGAGGTCACAGCCTGAAGGTGTAACAGAGACAGCCACTCCCTCCAGCATTGTGAGCAGTGAGCTGTGAACTTGAAGCTGCTAGTCAGTAGCAACCAGCAGCACTGAGCACCAACACCCAGAGCTACCATGGCCTACTGCCAGCAGGAAGGGAAGGATCAAATCATATTTGTGACCAAAGAAGACCACGAAAGTCCCAGCAACGCAGAGCTGGTGGTCGACGACCCCAATGATCCCTATGAGGAGTACCGCTTGACACTGCCAAGTGGAGAAATTAACTGGAATTGCCCGTGCTTTGGGGGGATGGCCAGCGGTCCTTGTGGAGAATCCTTCAAATCTGCCTTCGCCTGCTTCCATTACAGCACGGACGAAATCAAGGGGTCAGATTGCGTAGAGCAGTTCCAAGCCATGCGGGAGTGCGTGCAGACATATCCAGCCGTCTATCCCCAAGAGGAGAATGAGGCCAACGGTGAGAACAAGGATGAGGACAAGGGAAACTTCTACGAGGAGGGCAAGGAGGGCAAGGAGGACAAGGAGGACAAGGAGGACGAAGATGGCGAGGAGGGCGAGGAGGACAAAGAAGAGAGTGAGGAGGAGGAGGATAACTACTACGATAGCTACTATGTGAAGGGAGAGGAAGACGATGTCTACTACGAAGGGGCTGAAGAGTGGGAGAGCGACTATTACGAAGAGGGCGACTTCTACTATGAGGAGGAGGAGGAAGATGAGAACATCTACTACGAGATTGACTACTATGGGGAGGAGGAGGAGGAGGACGAGGATGTTTACTACGAGGTTGGCTACTACGAAGTGGAGGAAGAAGAGGAGCCAGCACAATCGGTGGAGGAAGCAATTGGCACTGAGGCCTCTGCTGCCACCAAGCAGTAGCCAAGTATCTAGAAGTCCCAGTCCCCAGCTGCCGCCGCCCTTTTGCTTAAGCCTCAGGACTTTCTGCACAATAACCGCCTTCCGATAGCCCTCCACGAAAGCACCTTTCCCTCTGCTGTTCTACGCTCTGTCCTATAGACAATAACTTACCTTGATGATCAGGGGTCTTGGCGGCTTGCCATATACCCTGAAGAAAAGCGGTGTGTGTGGTGTGCGCCTGCACCCTACATAAACCTACCCCCAGCACACTAGGTCGCTGCTCAACTGTCCTCTCGAGTGCCCTGGACTTTGCTGCCTTGAAAAAAAAAACGTGACATTCTCAACAGTCAAAAGTTGTTACTCAAGAAAGTCTCTCGTGAGTAAGCCGACTTATGCTGATCCATTGTGTTCCTTTTGGTAGATTTTATAAGTCTTTGGGAAATTAAGTAGAGGCCGTTCCTGTGGGAGGAGCGATCAGAGCCTCGCCTTGAAGTGTGTAGGGGCTGCCTTGCTTCATCTCTGATATGCTAGCTTGTGCTGTTTGCAGTGCATCCAGGTTCTCGGGTGTCTACAGTTGGAAAGTAGAATTTGGATCCTTTAACTCCCCGTTCCTTGCTAAGTGAAAGGAGAGGGTGGTTTGGGGGAAGGTGCTGCTTGTTTTACAGTTTCAAAGGCCTGATTTGGGGCTCCTGCTCACTCAATACAGTCAGTTGTAACATTCTTGAGAAGTGGGGACCAAATGGTTGCCTGAAAAGCATCCAGAAGGGGATGTGGTCTGAATGAAGTATTCAATTAAAAGAAATGATTCCTTTAAAAAAAATGGAAGACAGAAAGAGAATGAGTTCTAAGACTTCGGGGGGAGGTATGTGGGGGACAAGGGGACAATGTGGAGGGAGAGGGAGGATATGTGGGGGGGAGAGGGAGAATATGTGGACTCATGAATGCCACAGCATTCGTGCGGAGGTCAGAGAACAGCCCAAGGCTGTCACTGTCTGCTTACCACCTTGCCTGAGGCAGGGTGTCAGCTGGTTTTCGGTTGCATATGCCAGGCTAACTGTCCCTCTGGCTTCTGGGAATCCTTTCTCTCCCTTTAGGAGCCATGGGTCACAGACGTTCCTGTTGGCATGTCTTACTTCTCTCTGGGTTCTGGAGATTCAAACTCAGGTCCTCGTGCTTGCACAGAATGCACTTTTACCCACTGTACCATCTTCCAGCCATTTTTGGTTGGTTTGTTTTTTTTTTTTTTTAAATGAGGTCTTGCTGCAGTGTGGCCCAGGACAGCCGTGAACTCTTGATCTTCTGGTCTCAGTTTTCCCAAGTGCTAGGATTACAAGTTTTGTTGCCACACCCTGTCATTAGATCTAGTTTGGGCACCTAAGAAAATCATTTACACTGGCGAGATAGATGAGCGGGTATAGGCACTTGCCACATGATGACCTGAGTTCAATCCCTGGGACCCGCATACTGGAAAGAGAGAACCTCTGACCTCTACACACAAATAGTGGCACACACAGACCCAACACACACACACACACACACACACACACACACACACACACACACACACACGGAATAAATAAATGTACTTTTATTTGTGATATAGAGAAACTGGACTAGCTTGGTCTAGAAGAGGTGAATAGAAATAGGAAAAGCAATCAAACTATTAAGGTTGTTTCTCTCATCTAACTACTAAACCAGGGCTAAACTTGCTTAGCTTCCAAGATCAGACAAAACGGCATGTTCATGGTATGGCCAGTACCTAAGGTTGGTTTTCAATTGTATTAGTATATTAGATAGAATGACTTACAAAGGTTTTGAAAGTGACCATTACGCAGTCACCAGCATGGTTTTTGAAGCAGAATTTCTGAAGAATACATGCTGCTGTTTTTCAGCTCTTCCCAGGTGACTGCAGTGACTAGCTCTGCTCCAGAGGATGACGTCAAGCACCATCAAGTGGAACAATTTTGATTAGTTTTTCTGCAAATGTTCGCTTCTCTATGCCCTAGGAGGCCGTTCCCATCTTCTGTGACGTATGGCTTCTATTTATGGAGGACCTACTATTATGAGTTTAAGGTCCTTCCTGACAGACAGTAAATCATCTGCTGTGACTCAGGAGAAAATTCTTATTAATGAAAGAAAAGTCAAACCTCCCCATCACTGACAACAGTGACGTCACTCTCCAGGCTCATCAGGACTCATAAAAATGAATGAGATAGTAATACAGATAGGCAGGGGTGGGTATGTTCACTGAAGAGATCACCCCCCCCCAAAAAAAACCCTGTTCTTTCTAAAATGAATTCCAGAACGTTTTTTTTTTGTTTTTTTTTTGTTTTTTTTTTTTTTTACCAACCCTGATATTAAGACTCTAATTTTCCAAAAGAAACTCACCTGGTTATTGGGCCACTGGGCAGACTGACCAGCAGCAATGGGGACCTGTGTGATCCTGATTTGCCTTTTCTGCATGGGCTAACCTATCAGTTGACTTCTTCATTCTTTAATAATCCACAGATCCTTGGAGTATCACACCATCAGAGAAACTACAAATGGAAATGGCTGGAAAATGGCATCTGGTCTTCAGGCGTGGGGAAAGAAGATTTAGTGACATGATTTCCTGGTCAATTGGTGGCTTTCCAGGGGTGCCAATTTGCCATAGACTGTGGGTCTGGCCAACTGACTCATTTTGTCCCCGCATCCCACCTTCCTCATGGCACATGGTCTTTTCCTGGATGGTGGTGGTTTTTTTTCTTCCATTTAATGAGAAAGTAGTAAGGTAGGTGAAATGTGTCTGCTTCCTCAGGTGCTCAGTACACAGGGTGCTGGGTGCTCAGTGCTCGGGGTGCTGGGTGCTCAGTGCTCAGTACTCAGGGTGCTGGGTGCTCAGTGCTCGGGGTGCTGAGTGCTCAGTACTCAGCGTGCTGGGTGCTCAGTACTCAGGGTGCTGGGTGCTCAGTGCTCAGGGTGCTGGGTGCTCAGTGCTCCGGGTGCTGGGCGCTCAGTGATCGGGGTGCTGGGTGCTCAGTGCTCAGGGTGCTCAGTGCTCAGTGCTCGGGTTGCTGGGTGCTCAGTGCTTGGGGAGCTTGGTGCTCAGTGCTCGGAGTGCTGGGTGCTCAGTACTGAGGGTGCTGTGTGCTCAGTGCTCAGTAGTCAGCTTGCTGGGTGCTCAGTGCTCAGAGTGTTGGGTGCTCAGTACTCAGGGTGCTGGGTGCTCAGTGCTCAGTGCTCATGGTGCTCAGTGCTCAGGGTGCTGGGTGCTCAGGGTGCTGGGTGCTCAGTGCTCGGGGTGCTGGGTGCTCAGTGCTCAGGGTGCTGGGTGCTCAGTGCTCAGTGCTCAGGGTGCTGTGTGCTCAGTGCTCAGTGCTCAGGGTGCTGGGTGTTCAGTACTCAGGGTGCTGGGTGCTCAGTACTCAGGTTACTTGGTGCTCAGTGCTCAGGGTGCTGGGTGCTCAGTGCTCAGGGTGCTGGATGCTCAGTACTCAGGGTGCTGGGTGCTCAGTACTCAGGGTGCTCGGTGCTCAGTACTCAGGGTGCTGGGTGCTCAGTGCCCAGGGTGCTGGGTGCTCAGTACTCAGGGTGCTGGGTGCTCAGTACTCAGGGTGCTGGATGCTCAGTGCTCAGGGTGCTAGGTGCTCAGTCCTCAGGGTGCTCAGTACTCAGGGTGCTCAGTGCTCAGTACTCAGGGTGTTCAGTACTCAGGGTGCTGGGTGCTCAGTGCTCGGGGTACTGGGTGCTCAGTACTCAGGGTGCTCAGTGCTCAGTACTCGGTGTGCTGGGTGCTCAGTACTCAGGGTGCTCAGTGCTCAGTACTCGGTGTGCTGGGTGCTCAGTGCTCAGGGTGCTCAGTGCTCAGTGCTCGGGGTGCTGGGTGCTCAGCGCTTGGGGAGCTGGGTGCTCAGTGCTCGGAGTGCTGGGTGCTCAGTACTGAGGGTGCTGTGTGCTCAGTGCTCAGTACTCAGCGTGCTGGGTGATCAGTGCTCAGAGTGTTGGGTGCTCAGTACTCAGGGTGCTGGGTGCTCAGTGCTCAGGGTGCTCAGTGCTCAGGGTGCTGGGTGCTCAGGGTGCTGGGTGCTCAGTGCTCAGGGTGCTGGGTGCTCAGTGCTCAGTGCTCAGGGTCCTGGGTGCTCAGTGCTCAGTGCTCAGGGTGCTGGGTGTTCAGTACTCAGGGTGCTGGGTGCTCAGTACTCAGGGTGCTTGGTGCTCAGTGCTCAGGGTGCTGGGTGCTCAGTACTCAGGGTGCTGGATGCTCAGTACTCAGGGTGCTGGGTGCTCAGTACTCAGGGTGCTCGGTGCTCAGTACTCAGGGTGCTGGGTGCTCAGTGCCCAGGGTGCTGGGTGCTCAGTACTCAGGGTGCTGGGTGCTCAGTGCTCAGGGTGGTAGGTGCTCAGTCCTCAGGGTGCTCAGTACTCAGGGTGCTCAGTGCTCAGTGCTCAGTACTCAGGGTGTTCAGTACTCAGGGTGCTGGGTGCTCGGTGCTCGGGGTGCTGGATGCTCAGTACTCAGGGTGCTGGGTGCTCAGTACTCGGGGTGCTGGGTGCTCAGTACTCAGGGTGCTGGGTGCTCTGTGCTCGGGGTGCTGGGTGCTCAGTGCTCAGGGTGATCGGTGCTCAGTGCTCAGGGTGCTGGCTGCTCAGTCCTCAGGGTGCTCAGTGCTCAAGGTGCTGGGTGGTCAGTACTCAGGGTGCTGAGTGCTCAGTACTCAGGGTGCTGGGTGCTCAGTGCTCAGGGTGATCTGTTCTCAGTGCTCAGTGCTCATGGTGCTCAGTGCTCAGGGTGCTGGGTGCTCAGGGTGCTGGGTCCTCAGTACTCAGGGTGCTGGGTGCTCAGTGCTCAGGGTGATCTGTTCTCAGTACTCAGGTTGCTGGGTGCTCAGTGCTCGGGGTGCTGGGTGCTCAGAACTCGTTGTGCTCAGTGCTCAGTACTCAGGGTGCTGGGTGCTCAGTACTCAGGGTGCTGGGTGCTCAGTGCTCGGGGTGCTTGGTGCTCAGTACTCGGGGTGCTGGGTGCTCAGTACTCGGGGTGCTGGGTGCTTAGTGCTCAGGGTGCTGGGTGCTCAGTGCTCGGGGTGCTGGGTGCTCAGTGCTGAGGGTGGTGCTGGGTGCTCAGTACTCAGGGTGCTGGGTGGTCAGTGCTCAGGGTGCTGGGTGCTCAGTACTAAGGGTGCTGGGTGCTCAGTACTCAGGGTGCTCGGTGCTCAGTACTCAGGGTGCTGGGTGCTCAGTGCTCAGTGTGCTGGGTTCTCAGTACTCAGGGTGCTGGGTGCTCAGTACTCAGGGTGCTGGGTGCTCAGTGCTCAGTGTGCTGGGTGCTCAGTGCTCAGGGTGCTGGGTGCTCAGT